TGCCCAGATTGCCCAGAGGCATGGGCTGGGTTGTCACCAATATGCGGATGACACCCAACTCTTTCTGATGTTGGGTGGTCAGTCTGACTCTACCCCAGAAGATCTGGACCAGGCGTTGCTGGACGTGGCTGGATGGCTTAGACTGAGCCGATTGAAATTGAATCCAACGAAGACGGAGGTCCTGTGCCTGAATCGGAGTGGTACGGGGGTAGGGATCCCACTCCCGGCCTTCGGTGGGGCGCCATTGGTGCCAGCTCCGAGGGTCAGGAGCTTGGGAGTGCTCCTGGATGCCTCCTTAACAATGGAGGCCCAGGTAGCAGCCGCTGCCAAGGCAGCCTTTTACCATCTTCGGCTGATTAGGCAGTTGGTTCCCTTCCTCGAACGCAATGATCTGGCTGCAGTGATCCACGCTATGGTCACCTCGAGGTTGGACTACTGCAATGCTCTCTACATGGGGCTGCCCTTGGTGCAACTCCGGAAGCTGCAGCTCGTGCAGAATGCGGTGGCCAGGCTGCTGATGGGCCTCCCCAGGTGGGAGCACATCCAGCCTGCGCACAAGACTCTGCACTGGCTGCCAATAGCATTCTGGATTTGCTTCAAGGTGCTGGTTTTGACCTTTAAAGCCCTTTATGGTCAGGGACCGGCCTACCTGAGGGACCGCCTTTCCCCGTATGTTCCCCAGAGAGCACTGAGATCAGGATCCCAAAACCGCCTGGACCTCCCTGGCCCTAAGGAAGTCAGGTTGATGGTAACCAGGACGAGGGCTTTTTCGTTTGTAGCTCCGTCCTACTGGAACGAGCTCCCTGCCGAGATCAGGGCCCTGCGGGACTTATCACAGTTCCTCAGGGCCGTGAAAACAGAACTTTTTAGGCAGGCGTTCCGATAGGAGTGACGTTTACCAGCTGCGCCCTGTAGTGAACTCCAATCCTATATGATCTAATGCGGCGGTACTGCCGAATGTGTCCTCAAATTGCACCTTAATTCTATCACCATCTAATGAACGTTTTAATTAATGTTTTATATTGATTGCTGTGTTTTAATTGATCTTTTATAATCTATTATGAATGTATACTGCTTGTCAGTTCTTGGAAGCCGCCCTGAGCCTGCCTAGCGGGGAGGGCGGGGTAAAAGTGAAACAAATAAATAAATAATAAATAAGGCAAAAGAGGAAGAAATATAAAGACTTAATCCTTTTTCTACAAACAAACAGCATTGTCTACAGATGGTTAATTCCAGGAGGCTTCATTTTCAAACGACATGATAAAAAAAGAAAAGATTGACTCTGTTTTCAAAGCACGTGAGTTCCTGAGAGTGCAGCTGGGAGAGACAGCTGAGGTCGAGAAGGAAGAAGATCACAGCAAATCCAGTGGAGAACTGGACTCTGTGTCTTCCGACGAGGACTCTCTTTCTGATAAGGGCCCCCCCAAATGTACATATAAATTGAGGATTAGAGAAGACGGGACAAAATGAAGGCTGAAGGACTCTGAATTGTGCCTTAAAATTTTAATTTTATTATGGGATGCTCTGGGGGTTCTCTTGAACAGTTAAATCAATGGATAGAAAGATAAATCAATGGATAGAAAGATAAATAATTTGGCATGGCCGACTATGTTCAAAGTAATACTAGCAATTTAAGATTAACATTTATATAAGATGCTGTTATGATCTCCTCAACCTCACTGAGACTAGCTTTCCACCACTTAAAGGAATCCTTCTTATCTTTTACTGCTTCCATTACTTGTTTGTTAACCATGCAGTCCTTTTTCTATACCTATTTATGCCTTTCCTAACCTGTAGTGTATATTTTATCTGAGCTTCTAGGATTGTAGTTTTAAACAGTCTCCAAGCTTCCCCAATGGTTTTGACCCTTTCTACTTTTACTTTCAGTTTCTTCCTCACATGTCCCCTCATATCAGTTAAAATTGGTTGTGTCAGTCTTTTTGGGCAACTCCCGATTTATACAAATATTGAACTCAATAACATTATGGTCACCCAAGAGGTGCAATCACTTTTACATGCCTCACCAGGTCTTGACTTATGCCAATCCTATAAATTAATGACCTCCAAAACATCCTAACAGCCTTGCTCAGGTCTTGCAAACTGAGGGCCAACTTCTTTTACTGAGTCAATCCACCTCATGCTGAATCTTCTTTTTCTGCTGCCTTCAACCTTTCGTAGCTTTATTGTCTTTTCCAGTGACTCTTGTCTTCTCATAATGTGACCAAATGTGTTGTGCAGTCCCAGTAAGTCCTGTTTGATAAGGGCCAAATCCAGTAAATGCAAGACAGTCTTTTTGTCCGCCATTTTAGCTGCTTTGGTGCCAAGGGCTTTTTGTTCTCCCTGGTTTTCTCGCAGAGAGAAGAAGTCTTGTGATGATTTATTTGCAGCTCTGTTGCCCTGGGTGTTATGCTGCTGTTTCTTCCCATAATCAGGAGAGCTCTTGTTGATTTTGGCTTGCTGCATGCTATGGGGGAGGGAAAGGAAGCGGAGCCTTAGGAGCCTTAGGATCAGACGACTGCCATTTTACTTGGCATCGCCACGCCCCCCAAATATATATAAAATGTTGAGAGAATTTGCTTACACAATATTCTTTATAGTTCTTTTCAGATTGGGAATAGTGAATAATGTATTTTAGAGAAGTAGTGTTATTGGTAATGTTATAATAATTTACCTAGACTTATTAATCATTTCAAACTATTGCACAATTGCACTCATATCACACGCTAGCAAGGTCATGCTCAAGATCCTACAAGCTAGGCTTCAACAGTACATGGATAGAGAACTGCCAGAAGTACAAGCTGGGTTTCGAAGAGGTAGAGGAACCAGAGATCAAATTGCCAACATTCGCTGGATTATGGAGAAAGCAAGAGAATACCAGAAAAATATCTACTTCTGCTTCATTGACTATGCTAAAGCCTTTGACTGTGTGGATCACAACAAATTATGGCAGGTCCTTAAGGAGATGGGAGTACCAGACCACCTCACATGTCTCTTGAGAAACCTGTATAAGGGCCAAGAAGCGACAGTTAGAACCGGATATGGAACAACTGATTGGTTTAGCATAGGAAAAGGAGTACGACAAGGATGTATATTGTCGCCTTGCTTATTTAATATATATGCAGAGTACATCATGCAAAATGCTGGCCTAGATGAATCACAAGCGGGAATTAAGATTGCTGGGGAAAAGATCAACAACCTCAGATATGCAGACGATACCACTCTGATGGCAGAAAGTGAAGAGGACCTAAATAGCCTCTTGCTCAGGGTAAAAGAGGAGAGCGCAAAAGTGGGCTTGAAGCTCAACATAAAAAAAACTAAGATCATGGCATCCGGCCCCATCACTCCTTGGCAAATAGAAGGGGAAGTCGTGGAAGTAGTGACAGACTTCACCTTCCTGGGATCCCAGATCACCGCAGACTGTGACTGCAGCCATGAAATTAAAAGACGCCTGCTCCTTGGGAGGAAAGCGATGGCGAACCTAAACAGCATGATAAAAAGTAGAGACATCACCCTGCCAACAAAAGTCCGCATGGTCAAAGCAATGGTATTCCCAGTAGTCATGTATGGCTGCGAGAGTTGGACTATAAGGAAGGCCGAGCTTCGAAGAATAGATTCTTTTGAACTATGGTGCTGGAGAAGACTCTTGAGAGTCCCTTGGACTGCAAGAAGAAGAAATCAGTCAATCCTAAAAGAAATCAACCCTGACTGTTCCCTGGAAGGCCAGATAATGAAACTGAAGCTCAAATACTTTGGCCACCCAATGAGAAGGGAGCACTCCCTGGAGAAGACCCTGATGCTGGGAAAGATTGAAGGTCAAAGAAGACGGGGACGGCAAAGGATGAGATGGTTAGAAAGTGTCATAGATGCAACGAACATGAAATTGAGCAAACTTCAGAGGACGGCCGAAGACCAGAAGGCCTGGCGGGAGCTGGTCCATGGGGTCGTGAAGAGTCGGGACTCGACTGTGCGACTGAACAACAACATTAATCATTTCACTTTTATATCGTCTTTAATATTTGTTTAAAAGTGCCTTATATTTATTTCTCTTTTCCCCTCATACCCCTCTTTTCTCTGTACCCTCTATAAAATTTAAATTAAATATTTATTTCAAAAAAGGAAAAAGATTGAGCCAAGCACTCCCCCTGCCATTCCAACTCACTTCAAAAGTCAGATTCCGCCCTTCATTGTGAAAACAGAGACAGAAGAATTACATCACAATGCCACACCCTTTTATCCTCACAGACCCAAGACTACATCCTATCATGTAAAAACAGCGGGTAATGGATTTTTACCTCTTCTTCATTGCCATGAGGCTGGGTGTCTCCACTAGAATCACTTCATGCTTCTGCGTCCTGCTAGAGCCCTGGAATCAAAAGCAGAAATCTGGGCTAAGGCCTGACTAGTCAGAGAGACACGATGCAGCTGATCACTTCACACCAAAACCTAGTGAAGAAACAAAGCTGCCTTTGTGAGGGCCAGGAAGTAGGTTTAGTCCTGGGTCATCTGGTGCTAATTATAACTTTCCAACACACCCATTAGATCATCAAACCCCCTTTCAAAGTGGACCCCGGTCCTTCTCCATCAGTTGATTCGTTTGTATTAAACAGCAGGCAGAGATGCCAAGACATGCTGTGATCACAAGATGCTTGCAGAGATCACAGGGTCAGAAACCTTTCCCCCTCCCATAAGGGGTGGGGGCTGCATACCACAATCCTGCTTCTTTCTTCTGGAGACTGTAAAGCAAGAGCTGTAGTCCTACTCGCTGCAGCCCTCTCAGATCCACCCATTCCAGGAGGCTCCGCCCCTTAGCCTTCACTCCCAACCGAAACTAAGCTGAAAAGCAAACTCTGCCTTATGCCTCCTAATTCATCTACCCCAAGGCGGAGGTCCTGTGCCTGAGCCATGGTGGTTCAGGGTTGCAGGTCCTGCTCCTGGCCTTCGATGAGGCACCTCTCGTGCCAGCATCGGAGGTTAGGAGTCTGGGGGTGCTCCTGGATGCCTCCTTGACAATGGAGGCCCAGGTAGCGGCCACAGCTAAATCTGCCTTTTATTATCTTCAGCTGGTTCGGCAGTTGGTTCCCTTCCCTGACCGCTGTGACCTGGCGACAGTGATCCATGTGACGGTCACCTCGAGACTTGACTACTGCAACGCTCTCTACATGGGGCTGCCCTTGTCCCAAATCCGGAAGCTGCAGCTGGTGTAGAACGCCGCGACCAGGCTGTTGATGGATCTCCCACGTCGGGAGCATATCCAGCCTGTGCTTAGGTTACTGCACTGGCTGCCAATAGCATATCGGATTCGCTTCAAGGTGCTGGTACTTACCTTTAAAGCCCTACATGGTCAGGGTCCGACCTACCTGAGGGACCGCCTTTCCCCATTTGTACCCCAGAGAGCACTACGGTCAGGGGCCCAACATCGCTTGACTATTTTGGGCCCCAAAGATGCAAGGCTCACCAGTACCAGGGCCAGAGCCTTTTCTGTGGCAGCTCCTTACTGGTGGAATGGGCTCCTGGAGGAAATCAGGGCCCTGCGGGACCTTTTAAAGTTCCGCAGGGCCTGCAAGACGGAGCTCTTCCGCCAGGCCTTTAAATAGGAACCACCAGTACTGTTACCATCAATGATTCCATTGAACTTCTGGAACCTGGGACTGGGCCAGATGCATCGCTAGGGCTTTATCGGCTCGAGGGATGATGACCGGACGGACAACGTGGATTTAGATCTGAAGAGCACGCCATCTAATCTTTTAGCACCGCAAGCACTTTATTGCTAACTGTTATTTTCTTATGTAATATGAATGAGTATGTATTTTATGTAGTTTTAAATTTTTATGGTTATGCCAATTAGGTACATTGTACAGCTCTTGTTAGCCGCCCTGAGCCTGTTCGCAGGATGGGCGGGGTATAAATAAAATAAATAAATAAATACAGCATGAGCTGATCATTAATCGCGTGGCGAACCCAGTATATTTCAGCCATGGTTTTGTGCAATGTCTGAACCAAGAATATGTTACTCTATAAAGTGTCATTTGCCCACTAATGATGGTACATATGTAATATTCAGAAACGGGGATTTTTTGGTGGTGGCCCCTGTCCTTCAGAATGCCTTCCGCCTTAAGGCTCACCTCGTGCCCACCTTTCTTTTAGGCACCAGACCAAAACATTTCTCTTTACCCAGGCTTTTAACTAAGAGTTTTTAAAAGCCATTTTATGATCTACTCTAGCTGGAGGATTGTCTCACTAATATCATTTTAGACTCCTCTGTTTGTTTTATGCCCTGACAAGTTTCCATATAGCGCTTTTCAGAGTTCAAAGCTCTTGACATAGTTCTCAAAACAAACCCATAAGGCTTGTTGCATTATGACCCCTTGTACTGCTGATGGAGGATGAGGCACAGAGATACAGAGCAGGATTTGCACCAGGAACTTTCCAGTTCATAGCTCAGTCTCTTAGCCCCTGCACTACAGCAAGATTAGAACCTATCACACAGAGAACTGGAGAATGGGTCGCATGCTACCTGCAGGGTTTCTCCAATGTCTCTTCGAATATCAATCACTTGCCCATCTCGGATCAGTGACCTTGGAAGTCTGTTCATAAACTGCTGCACAGTGAGCTTGGGACCTGCCACAAGAAAGGATTCCAAGTGTAGATGTTTTACAGCACAGAAGAGTGAGGAATGAGCCACTTGCAAAAGGAGGAGCCCATGCCCTGAGAGCCTGCCAAGACATTTTTTTATGGTGTTACTCTTGTCAGCCTTACCAGATGTTTGCCATGATCAGTGGGAGGTGGGTAGAAGGGAGGCAGAAGATGTTATTGGATGCATTTCTGCTTTAGGAAGGGGCTGTGGCTCAGTGACAGAGCATGTGCTCGCCACACAGGAAGTCCAGATTCAATCCCTGGCACAACCAGTTAAGGATCTGATAACAGATGATGTGAAAAACTGCAACCTAAGACGCTAGAGAGCCAATGCCAGCCAAAGGAGCCACTACTGACCTTGAGAGGCCTGTAGTCTAACAAAGCAGTTTCTTATACTCTGGTTTGGGAGATCCAAGAGGCTCAGTAAAAGTGTAGTTATAGAAGTGGGGAAGCTAGTTCTTCTAGCTCAGTGTTGTCTGTTTGGACTTCCAGTGGCTCTAATCTCCTAAACAGACTTTCCCAGCACCTGCTGAGAGCCTTTACTGGCAATACCATGAACCTAGGGGCCTTCTGTATGCAAAGGTTCTGTTGGACCACTGAACCAAAGCCCCTCCTGAATTAAGGGGAAAGCTAAAGGCCTCCCTCCCTAGCTAAGAGAGGCTGGTCCAGACACCTGATTTGAAGGAGGTAGAAACTGCATAAGTTAACAGCTGATACTATTTGCCCAACTACCAGACACCAACAAGGCTCAGCCCTTCCTCCACCCACAGTAATGTCCAGCTACTTCTCAACTCCCCCCTTTCCCTTTCTATACCCGCAATTTATTAGCATCCATACAGAGACCAGTGGGTTTACGGTTACTTTGGCCTTACTTGTTTTTAGATTTGCATTCCAACTCTTCAGCTGCCCCTCCCCCCTAAGTGGCTTGGATCATTCATAAAAGACAACCATTACCCCCCAAAAAATTAAGCCATACAAGAAATGAGTGAGAAGGGAAGGCTGAGTATGATGAAAGGCAAATGTTTATCAGTATGCAACTCTAATTTTGTAATCCTGTTTTACTACGTTACTGATGGTGTTCTGATTGCACTGTTTTCAATCGTGCTAAATCTGCTTTGCCTTTCATCGAGAAAGGTGGGCTATAAATGAAACAAATAAAGGATTTAAAAACATGGAATTAACACCACTTCTGGGCTTGAGCAAGTCAAAAAACAAACAAAGAAAGAAAACTACACCACTGTTTCACCTGGAATCTCAGTTGTTTCCTTCATCCCACTTGGTTTGGGATTTCCAACGACCAAGCCCTGGCCTGGAAAACTCTCTGCCAGCTGCCTCTCCCGAAAGAAGACCTCTCTCTTGTCGGTGACCTAGTGAATATAGGCTGGTAAGTGCCCTGCCTGCCTCTGGACTGTAGAGGTCAGTGTTAGGCAAGTATTATACAGTGTCAAAATTGGTAAGGAGAGGAGAGCTTCTAATGTCCTGGCCCCACTGGTGGACCTCCTGATGGCACCTGGTATTTCTGGCCACTGTGTGACACAGAGTGTTGGACTGGATGGGCTTTTGGCCCGATCCAACATTGGCGTCTCTTATGTTCTTATGAGTGGCAAACAAGTCTCCGCTGGTCTCTGGGAAAACCTCAGAGGAAGTTACCAGTAAGGCAGGGCATGCAGAGGCCCTTAGATACAACCAATATAGAAAAACCTTCAGTGGGGGATAGGCGCAGTGCCTGGGACCACCCATACCCTTTTGCTCTTTCTCTATATCCTATTCATTACTGGAACAAGAGGCTTCCATTGGTAAAACCACTGAGGACAGAAGACAAGTTCCATCTCCACCCAATGTACAACAAGGTCATTCAGTTTTTTGCCGTAAGGACACCTTGATAAGGCATCTCAGTGAGAAGGATTCTGGGCTTGTCCACACAATTCAGTTTGGGGTCTGACACTTTTGGACTGTGTAACCCCTAGACGCCAAGAGCAGGGAGTCTGTGTACAAACAAGAGCCGCTTGCGGCAACAGAATGCATAACTACAGACTCCTACAAGGCTGCAGCCACACAAAAATGACTCCCATTTTATGAATGTTTCTGCTTGTGAGTCTGTTTTAGATATGCACCTCATACAAAATTAATTTGGAACAAAAAGAAAGGATGAATCCTAAGATCAAACAGTAATGTTGCATTAAAGTAATATGTGAAATGCTACACGGTCCATTAGGAGAAATGCTGGAAACAATTAAAGATTGCAAAAATCCTCCTTCCTATGTAAGTAAATATTCCTAATGGACAACCCCAGGCTAATTTCTCTGGAGCCAGGGAAGCAGCTTCCTTCTTAACTGCTGTTACGGCAATGGCCCAATGAGGCCCTGAGCATGCTTCAGGAGACACAGAATGTATCCTGCACTGGAGATTTAAAGGGAAGTAAGCAGAGGCAGAGGAAATTAGCTTCTTCAAGGCCCTGGCAGGGGGATGGATTTGAGGAGGATTTCCAAACTGTATCTTCATCAGCATGCCTTGCAGGCCCTCATCTTGTAAAATATGGGAAACAACAGGGTGTACATATTTACAGAAAAAATATCCTTCGTTCACAAGTACACATTTCATGGGAGGAGGCGACTGGGGATTTTATTTTGTATGTTTCACAATTGTGCTGTTTTAAATTGTAATCTGTCAGCAGCCTTGAGCCAGGATATAAATATTTTAATAAATATCTTGTCTCCATCCATTTTTACAATGAAAGGATTCCAGGCATAGAACGCGTGTGAATGAATCATTTTAATTTGCTACCTCAGTGGCTTAAACAATACACTGGAAGTTCTTCTGTGTGCAAACAGTTTTATTCCATAGCATCCAGATCATTCCCCAACACAGCCTGGAGTTACATGCTCCAAAGAAAGCTTTACTACCCCTAACTCCTGCTCCCTTCTGTCTCTCTGGATTCTGCTATGCTCTCTTTCTCTCGCTGTCTCTTTCTGCATCCTGCTCCCACCTGTTTACTACTGCCAACGGACCGTTCAGTTCTGGCACCCACAAACCAGCTCTTTTCCTGCCACAGCGAAGCGAGCGGGTGTTTTCTTCCACAGCTGCTGTCGAAGCTGAGCTTTGAGGCTTGTTATAAAAACCTCAGAAGACATAGCTGGTTTTACAGGTTTTTATCTAAACATTTCCTGTACTCCTATAAATACATTATTTTTTTAAAAAAAAGTTCCCTACCCCAAGCCAAAAAATAAAGGACTAGACAACAATAATGACTACAATAAAGCTCCAGAAATAAACTCCAGTTATCCGTGAAGGAGTTTCTAGTTTCTTTCCCTTCTTTCTCTAAACTGTATTAAACGAAGACATGATGATGCAAGTTTATAAAATGATGCCCAGGGGTGGTGAAAGTGGAGAGAGGGAGCTTTTTCTCACTCTCCCATAATACTAGAACTGGTGAACACCCAATGAAATTTTAGGAAATAGGTTCAGAACAGACAAAAATAAATACTCAATGAGGAAATAGTTACATTTGCTGTGTCTGTACTCTGCAGTGAAGCCCAGTCAACTTTCCTTGAGTTGTACCAGACCCTTGGCCCCCGGGCTGGCCAGCCTTGGAGAGCTGGAGCTACAAGGTTTGCACCTAGTGGACCAGCTCATCCAGCAAGACTGTCTTCCCAGGGCTCAGCTTCGGTAGGCTGAGAGGTAACTGGGCCCAGCTGCACTGCTGGCAGGTACTGGAGTTCCTGAGGCTGCATTATACACTGGCCAGATCCTGCAAGGAAGGACTATCCTCTGCACTCTGCTCTAGACCTACGGGAAGATGGTGCGCAGCCAGTCTGGCATTTTGCCTCCTTTGTGCCACCTCAGCCGGGGCCTTCCAGTACCATTCTTCCTGCACAGTGGGAGAGGTCTGTGAGGGCTCAGGTTCAAGTGCTACCTGGTAGAGGCCTAGTGGCTAACTCGGGCGTCAGCAGAGAGATTCCCCTAGCAAGCTCTGGCAGAGTGAACTCTGGTGCTGGTCCCTCTGGTCTTCCTCAGCTACTGACCTTCACTCCTCAGGCTTCTCCCCTGAGTCAGAATTACTGAGATGGTCAGAGGTGGTCATGACACACTGCTGGGGGAGAAGTGATAGTTATAAGCACAGATGGCTTTAAAGGGAAATTAAATTCATGAAGGATAGGTTCATCAAGGCTACTAGCCATGGAAAGTAAAGGGAACCTCCGTATTCAGAGGCAGTACACCTTGGAAACCCAGTGCTAGGAGGCAAAATCAGGGAGAGACTTTGGTGTCTGTGCCCTGTTTCTTGGCCTACCAGGTCAACTGGTTGGTCACTGCAAAAGACAGGATGCTGGACTAGATGGAGCACTGATCTGATCCAGCGCTGCTCTTCTTATGTCTTCTTCCCTCTACCAGGATTTAAAGCAGTTACCTGGGTGGGTGTATTTCCCAGCAGGGAAATGGTATTTGGGGGGAGGGGGGAGATTGCCCACCCTTCCCCAGCCTTACAGCCCCCCTCCCCCAGGCAGGTTTTTAGGGCCACGACTCAGGCTTGCGTGGAGGTTGGCCCTGACACAGGCTACCCCTCCGGATTTTGTCACTATAGTAGAGATCTTCAAAGAGAAATTCTCCTGTGATGGAGCAGTCTGCTCAGAGGTAGCTTTAGAATTTGGTAAGTTTGCAATTACTATTGAGCTTCTTCAAAGGTGTGTTCAACAACCCAAATAACCAGCATACCCCCCCCCCCAATAGTGTCATTCTCTCCTGGAAGATTAGTTTGTTTTTTACTTCACTTTTTGCAAATGAGTTACCATTCCACATTATATTTAAAATAGTATCTTTTATTCAATAACGGATAAGATTAACAAAAGCACCTCTCGGCAGCTTTTTGCTGTGAGATAACCTTGAGTTGACTCCCAGAAGCCCTCTCTGTGCCCACAGCAACACCTAACTTCCAGAATTCTTCCTTTTGCATCTCACCATTTCCCCAATCCAAAATGGCGCTCTGGGGGTGTATTTGCCCCACCGGGTGGGCTCCACACACATGCAACTTTCTTTCTGCTTTACCACTCATGGATAAGAAACTTTCATCACAGAATATATCAGATAAAAGTTCCTTAAACAAAAATAAAGGGGAAACTTCTCAGTTCTTTAAAACTGGAAACTATTTCAGTTTTTTAAGCAAAAAACCCCCCCAATCTCAGTTCCTTAAACAGAACAAACTATATTTATCTCAGAAAAAAGAATCCTACAGCTTAGTTCTCTGTGCTGGAGATGCTGAAGCAGACAACAACTGTCAGTTCTTTCAGAAAAAAAAGCCCAAGACAGCTCTTTGAACAAAAAGCAGTACCAACTTCAGACCGCATTTTTGATAAGCAAATAAAACTTCTGCAACGCACTACCCTGATAAACAGGAAGCTGTTTGGGAGGAGGGAGAGGTGATATACCTGAAATGGAACGCCATCTGGGTAACGCCTCTGCAGCTCAGAAGGGAAATAGCCGTCCATGAGATCTTGCAAGCATTGCTGAAACCACAAGCAGGGCCTACGCATCAGATTCCTCTCTTAACAACCCTATAAGCAGTGCAAATGCAAACTCATTCCCCCTCAGTGGACATCTTAAAATCATTTAGGTTCACAGCTAGAGCTCAAAAAAAAAACACCACAGGGCTTTTGTGGGGGGGGGGGGACGGGACTGAAATTTCTCAAAATTTCCAATTGTATCAATCCCATTTTGAATGCAAAGTCTCTAATTTGCATGCATTTTTTAAAAATCATGCAGTTGAAATTGGAGGGCTTTCAGACAGAACTATACATTACAAGAATGATGGGCTTGCTGCTCAAAAGAGCAGACTCATGTACAAATTTCCCCTTCCCTCAGGAAGTACAGTTTCCCCCAACATCCTCAGCCAGGGCTAGTAACATTAGCTCAGCAACTGCTAAGGCCCGTACTTCAGCTCACCAGCATCTGGAGACACCTAGTCTTGCTCCAGCTCCTCCTCCATCATAAGGACTAGCAACTTTTATTACAACAAAAACCAAGCTTTTACTCCGGAGTCTACTGAATTAAAGGAGAATTCAGATGCAGGGGCTATATAAAAACAGGTTGCTTACCAGTAACTGGTGATCTTTGAGTGGTCATCTTGTGCATTCACACCAATGGGATCTAGTGCGCCTGCGCTGGATCTGCCGGTGCCGTAGCAAGCTCTCTTAAAAGGATTTCCGTGCCTGGCCCAACTGAGCATGCCCAGGAGCCCCAGTGAGCATGCCCAGAAGGGCAGGCACGGACATCCCGCCAGTTCCTACCAACCGCCGCGTATCAATCTCCTAACAAAACAGGTAGAAGAAGACAGCAGTGGGGCAGGAGGGCGGGTGGTGTGAATGCACAGATGACCACTCGAAGATCACCAGTTACTGGTAAGCCACCTGTTTATCTTCTTCGTGGTCTCTGTGCTTCACACCAATGGGAGATTAGCGAGCAGTAGCCTACCTGGAGGTGGGTGCTGTCAGGTGTTTACTGCTTAGCCGATGATAAAACCTGACGTCCCAGACTGTCACTGGTGGACTTGCGGACGTCTAGGGCGTAGTGCCTGATGAAGGTATTAGGCGTGGCCCAGGTTGCGGCTCTGCAAATGTCTTGCAGCTGTACTCCCTTCAAGAACGCAGTGGATGTCGCGACAGCCCTGGTGGAATGAGCCCGCACCGGGCCTGGCAGCGGCTGTTTCGCCAGTAGGTAACACAGTTGTATCAGACCTACGATCCACTTGGATAGACATTGGGCTGTGATTGGAGTGCCCACACGAGGTGTAGC